GAAGAAATCAAACTTCTACTAGAAAATTGGGTCAATGCGAAATTCGGCTTTGCGTGAGTTCCTAATAGATTAGAAAGATTTTTAGAGGTTTATACCATTAATAATTGATTTCGGAAATATATGGAACACAATAAAAGTGAGTGGATATCACCTAATCTAACTAAATTTTAAACATATAAGTAGAGTTTCGAGACTACTGACAAATCAGTTATATGAGATGTATTCACACTATTTCATTTGAGGTGATGAAGGACTGGTAGAAGAAAAAATTTCCCACAATGATTTGAGTAGAGCTAATGTTCCCATTCAATTGCACAGAGCTTTGCTTTCCCATATCACATATCACCTCTACTCATATCATTGTGGGAAAATTCTACTATCAGTTCTTCATTACTTTAAACGAAATGGGGTGAATATATTTAATAGAAATTTTAAAAATTTGTTTTATCTCGTTTTCATGCTATAAAACCTTTACAGCTTGTTCCTGATTTCTACTCACGCAAGCATTGCTGGCTTCTCACTGAAAAATGCTTGATGACACGGCTACTCTTTCTCCATCGCTCCTAAGTGTATATTGATGAATAAGTATCATTAGTACGGTTAACTCTTATGATAAGAAGATGGCAAAAAAAAGAATAAATCTTTGAGTTCTCAGTCAATTTAGAGTGGGCGATGTAAAAAATAGAAAGGTTCTCTACAACTTTTGACTAAATTTTTAGTTACTACTTTAGTTAATACACTTGGTCAGCATCCTGAGACCTACTCATTTGATTGTGTGAAAATCTATCTTTCAATCATTGAATAACTTAAGGCAACTTAGGCTGACTAAGTTCTTATGCAAGAATGACTGATATTCCTCAAACCTATTTATACAATAAATTAGACATTTTCATACAAACATTTTAGCCACTTTATTCAATTTTGTTAGCTCCATGGTGGATATATGATTCCTTCAATGATTATTTTGTGTATTCCGCCTCATGTCTTCACCATGGACACCTCAACATTTTGTGGGATATACATAACTCAGATAATAAGTCCCTTGGTGCTGTCTGAACAACGACCTTTGTAGCTATTTAAACCTTTACAACGTACTTTATTACTGATTTTAAATGTGAATAGGCTTCGAGACTATGAGTAACTATTGTGTAGGAATGCACCTTGCTATATTAATTTACGAGTTTTAATAATTTATAATGGAGGTCCAGTCTGCTGATGTCAAACTATTCCATTTGAAATTGGAGTTTTCTCAAAAATATTGGCCTCCTCTTCTGAATCCAACTCCCCTTAGACGGTACTGAGGATATGTGTACCAATTAAAACCACTTCATTAAGCAGAACTACAGGCCACACAACTATTTCCTCTAGGAAATTATGATTAATTACTGCAAGATGTGTTATAAAAATTGTATATTTCAGAAAGGATATGATATAAAGAGCAATACGCTGCCTATCTCGGATCTCCAAATTTACTGCATAGGCATTTGGGAAAAGAATTAAGCAGTTCACATGATAGCTTACTCCCTGTTCGCCAAATGAAGCATCGTACTATTCAAGGTATCCATAAAATGCTGGGTCGAAATTGTCCAGTTGAATATGCTGTTTGGTCTTCAAGGCATCGGAGATGCATATTTTAGCTCAAAGTTTCGTCAAATACGAAGGATTTGAGGTCATTATGCGTATGCTAATAGTCATCTGAGCATCAGAATCACTCAATTCATAAAACAGGGAGCACAATCTCCGTTGGTTGCTTGGCTTTGTCAGAACATGAATGAAGAAGAAGGATTCACGGCGATTTTGTTTCAATATGTCAACTGTGAAAGTAAACAGGCACAAAAATGTAAGACATCGTTGTCAGTTAGAAATTTTTTTGTCCCGCAATAAGCTGGGTTGAATGCCTGACGATGCCACATAAAGTTATTCAATCTTGCCTCCTAAAGGCCGTTATCTTCACAACTGGACAGAAATTTTGGCCACGCCAAGCTCTGATCAGTACCACAAATTGGACACATGACAACATCGTGTGCACCAAGCTACAACGTTGCAAATCTGCCACATAGCCACTATGGTCCAAAAACGTATATTTGGACATTTATTTTTGAGTAAAATTCACTACACTACTGTGTATCAAATGAGTAGGCCTTGAAATAAGCAGTTAATCTTGAATAATAAACCAACTTGTTTTCAAGCTCTATCCTAAGCCGAGGCTACGCCTCAATTCTAAGCTAATGTAAAAGTGTTTTTTTAGAAGAACCGGTAATCACTGCACCTTTGAGGAGCCTGCCCGAAATAATTTGGCTGGATTAAAGGAAATAGCCTTCGAAACGGTCAGACACAGCATAACTTGTATACTGGTCGGATGCCAAGAGTTTTGCCAACATTGTGTCATTTTGTACTTTGGCGCTATCACTCTGATGTCTGGAAAGTGTGAAAGAAAATCCAGAAGATTAAAGAATTGACAATTTTTTGGTTTAGAGTTTTTCCATTTGTTCAGAAATAACCAAAGAGTCACGTCCAAAGGGAACAGTAGCTTTCGAGATTCCTGGCTTTGCCAGAAGAGAAATGAGTGGTCAGCAAAAGGTGGGATTATGCTGTCTCTTTTATTGCATCAAAATAGCCTTATATACATTTTTGCCAGTATATTTTACTATAAAAACTGTATTGATCAAGAACTGATAGTTGGCGTTTTCTGCATTCATATGAGTAAGCCGATGGCTTAAAAGATATTCCTATTCCAGTCAGAATGAATTGCATTTCATACCTTGCCTGGGACTCATCAGCAGCCACAAAAGAAATTGAACCCGGTTGTAGTGTCTGCTATAATTACTTCTTATTTTTTATATATTAGCGGCGTCAATATCTACTCACTCTGGATGCAATCAAAGTGGTAGACTGTAATAGCCACTAAATGTTTGTCTCATAGAAACTATACCATTACAAAATGTTTGATGGGAGTGTTATGACCAGCCGTAAAAGTCACGTCAGTCGTGTGACAGTGAAATGTGGAAAATGAATTATGAATTATCAAGACTGGCCTCTTGCCGACGAGATCTGAACTGTGATACATTCTAGCCGGAATGAGAATACCACCTGACCGGCAAATCATCCTGACGCCTACTCATATGACTGTGTGAAACTACAAATCCCATACACATAGAGCTCTCCTTCTAGATCTAGTATCTCAATTCACCCAATAAATATGCATATTTATGTATCATTATGTATTGTCATTATTCTATTATTATGCATTGTTGTTAAAATCATTTGAATAACGTACGATTTAGGTGAATATATGAAAATATATTATTGCTATTCTAATTGCCATCTTTTATATTTTCCCAGCAACATCCGGTTTCGGACATTTGACCGATTCGTGATAAAGAGGAGGCCGTCGACAGCCAGTTGGCCACAGCCTCGTCTCGGCTCCCTGACGTGTCGGCCCATCTTCTGTGGCCCAGTCCCGGCAACAGCTTCCGTCTCACAAAGTTGAAGGCAGAAGTGCTTCGGCGACAGGATATGCCGCAAGAGAAGGTCTTCCACAACGCGACCACTGCTTCGCTTCTGCTGTCTCTCTTTCATGCCCCCACGCCTGACTGCATTTGCAGCAAAACCTTTTTTGTCCGTCAGCATACGAGACGCAGACGAGGCATGAATCACTAATCTGGCAGGCTTTAACATCAAATGGGGCACAGCTAATGCGTTGAGAGTAGCTTAAGCCTGAACGCGGCCGACCAGAAAGCCTTTGCGGGCAAGGCCTGCAAGCAGATTTGCTGACTGTCTACTAAAATCAAGTCATTATCTTTCGTTCTGCTTCACTGGCCTACAAAACGGTCTGTTCTCGAGACGATGCAGAACAGACCAATCAAGTTTCCCATTCTCCCCGAAAAGCGTACACAATAGCAGTACAGACAATCAAGATCAGTCTTGCTCATCTTCATGCCAACGGGAACTGACGAGCCGAAGAAGGAAACATGATGCTGCCTCGACAGGCCAAAGTTGGTGGTGGACGGCTGAGGACATATTTCCCCCTTCAGTTGATCCAACTGACGGTCGAGCTGCATAAAAGAGCCAAAAAATGTCGCCGAAATTCGCTGAAATCAAGAATTAAGATTCATGCTTATGCTAATACTACTAACTATACTACTCACATTGTAGGTCGAAGTGGCAAATAGCCTATGATCCACTGGTACCTTTGGCTGGGTAGTGGAGGGGTTCCGTTGCCACGAGACTTATGACTCGGTACCAAATCCCGCTGATAGTGCCGATGACATGAGTAACATTCAGTGGAATCATGAGTGATTGTGAGAAAAACTAAACTATCAGTCGCTAAATCACCAAAAATCGACGTAAGCTGACAAAGTTTTTAGTAAAAAATAAATGATTATTTCGGAAAATCCCCAAAAAGCGAGCACAATAGCAGTACGGACAATCAAAATTAGCCTTGCTCATCTTCGTGCCAACGGGAACTGACGAGCCGAGTAAGGAAACATGATTCTGCCTCGACAGGCCAAAGTTGGTGGTAAACGGTTGAGGACATCTTTCCCTTTTTAGTTGATCTAATAGACAGTCAAGCTGTATAAAAGAGCCCAAAAATGTCGCCAAAATTTGCTGAAATCAAGAAGTAAGATTCATGCTTATGCTAATACTACTACCTATACTACTCAAATTGTAGTTCGAAGTGGCAAACAGCCTGTGACCCACTGGTACCATTGGCTGGGTAGTGGAAAGGTATCGTTGCTACGAGACATTACTTGGTACCGAATCCCGCTGATAGTGCCGATGGAATGAGTAAAATTCAGTAAAATCATGGGTGATTGTGAAAAAAAACTCAACTATCAGTCCCTAAATCACCAAAAAACGACGTAGGCTGACAAAGTTTTCTGTAAAAAATTAATTATTATTTCGAAAAATCCCCGAAAAGCGTACACAATAGCAGTACAGACAATCAAGATCGGCCTTGCTCATCTTCGTGCCAACGGGAACTGACGAGCTGAGGAAGGAAACATGATGCTGCCTCGACAAGCCAAAGTTGGTGATGGACGACTGAGGACATCTTTCCTCCTTTACTTGATCAAACTGACGGTCGAGCGGGCGACAATAGTTTGTCATAACGGACTGTATAAAAGAGCTTAAAAATGTCGCCGAAATTTGCTGAAATCAAGAAATAACACCCAGCTTATGTTCATACTACTAACTATACTACTCACATTGTAGGTCGAAGTGGCAAATAGCCTGTGACCCACTCGTACCATTGGCTTGGTAGTGGGGGGGTACCGTTGCCACGAGACATGACTTGATACCGAATCCCGCTGATAGTGCCGATGGAATGAGAAGAATTCAATGGAATCGTGAGTTATTCTGAGAAAAAACTCAACTATCAGTCCGTAAATCACCGCAAGCGACGTAGGCTGACAAAGATTTTAGTCAAAAATTTATGATAATTTCAGAAAATGAAAGAACACAACAGCATAATGTCTGTTCTATAATCGAACTCAAAATGACCCCAAAGTTAGTCGAAAATGTCTTCAGCCTGGCCCTCAGTCTTTTTCGGTCGGAGAGTTTGTGAAAACCGGTGGTCTCTCGTTGAATTCAGTCACTGGCACGAAGCATGCTGCAGCCAAGCGAGTGAATTGCGTGTGTGGCAATTACGCAAAGTCGCCACTGCAACATTCATTTCGTCTGTCCTGCATTGACCAACCAATGCAGAGTTGAGGACTCGTGTTTGCTATGAAAGTGAAAAAACCGCTTTACATTCACGGATGCTGTTCTTCTGTCAAGGAAGCCCAGGTCTGCGAATCAGACTGCCTAAAAATGTGAACATAATGAATGAAAGTGAATGGGTAATTGGCAATTTTTTCAAGTCAGCTGCTATTTAATCAATTTCTCTGATCAGTTTCTATCCCCATCCAAACGGCCAGATAGACTGAAGTTGAAATGAACTCAAGATTGTGAACAAAACTGAAATTTTGTCTTAGTTTAGAGCATAGCTGAATGGTTCTGACAACTTGAATATTACATTATATTATAATACAATATAGTATGCATATATATTCATGTAATATGTAAACTCTTACTAATAGTTACACATAATTGATGTTTTATTTGATACATTAATCATCCACTTATAAACAATTGGTGGATACTGGTTGGTTAAAGAGAATATACATGATCTACGAATGTATAAACTGCCACACATGTCGTCTTATTCAGTACATTTTTGCGATGGTGACATTAATTTCCATTTCGAAAAAGAAGACGTTTAGAAGCAATTCGTGATATGGTCTCGCAAGAAAACAACAAAGGAGGATTGCCGCGTAGTAAAGACTGGCGAATAAGTTCACGGCTCAACAGCCTGCCACCTCGATCGACCTGTGCTAAGGTTTCTTCTGTACCACCGTGGCAGGCAAGATCAGAGCAAGAATGGCAACTTTGTGAAATAGAGCAAAAATAGACTAAATCAAGAGAAAAGCATTAGTCAGTCTTTTATGCATCCAAGCATCCCATGCTTGGGTTGGCTACTTCAAAATAATTCTCTACATTCGTGAAGATGATTCAAGTTATTTCAAGACCTGGAAGCCTATTCGGCGGCTGGTATGAATTTCTTCTATTGTCCATTGCGTGTGTGTGTGTGTGTGTGTGTAATGTTCATGTCATGAAAGGTGTGATGGTACTAGCTAGACTCGGGACCAGCTCTTCCTACTTTACTTCTCTCTTCCTCTCATTAGGCCTATCCAACAACCGTAAATTGTAGTTATTCCCTAATTGCCCACATCGTCACTCCATTTCAGGGCAGTGGCTGTTCTGTTAATTTCTATAGCCTCGCTAATCATACGCTTTGATGTAAAGTCTCAGTAATCTTGAAAACTTTGTGATTTGGACTGGCGTAATGAGTGTCTTATATTCGCCACTTGTTCAGCGAGCTCATGTTTTTTGCATTTAAAAACTTTCACACGAGGTTTCATTCTCGCATAGTCTCGACTGGATGGGCCAACAGGTCTTCTCCACATGGAACTGAGCACATGAGCACAGAACCTTGTAGCAGCCTGATCTATAAAGAGCATCTGGAACCTCTCTTAACGAAGAAACCATTGAAAAAAGTGTTTATTTTTCATTATGCATTATTATTATATTCCACTTCCTCAATAGATCACCCGACTTTTTTGCAAGCTGACATTAAGGCAAAATCAGAATGGTCCAATTGTCTATCCCGTCCCAGATAGCAAACAGCCCTCATCTTGGTACTGAGAATTGAACGCAATTATGTACTTATCCAAATTGGTAGAATTGATAAGTTTGCTAGAAGATACGAGGATTGACATTTAATTACATGTTGCCCTTCAATTGTGCACAAGCAGCATATGAGAATGGGACAGTTAGTACCATTCAACGAATGCTTACTATAAATGGACAATTAGTAATGAGGGCGGACAAAAGAGAAGCTGTAATGTTTATGGATAGGATTTTTGATGCATCAGACGATGATACAACATTTAAAACTACGATAAGTGACCCGAC